CACACATCCAGCTGACTAAAGCCAGAAGCCGGGTACCAAGAGAAGCAGTCCAACCAAGCTGCTGCCACAGACCCCTCACCCGTTCCCTGGCCCCAGCCTCCCCCACCAACACAAACATGGGGGAAAGCAGGCTGCAGAGCTCCCGCAGGTGAAAACCAGCTTTGGAAAGCTGGTGGGTTAGTTTAAATCCACCCACAATGCCTCTTTCAGCAGCAGGGCTAGCTTAGATCAGATTACATGCACGCAAAAGAGCAGCTTTAGGAGAGCTTCAGCACATCTGAGCCTTCCTTGGAAATACGGAGTGGGAACTGCTTCACCTTCTCTAAACCCTCCCATCTCACCTCAGAGCTCAAATAAGAAAAACCAAGCAGGAGTTCAGGGCTCCTGACCTGCAGAAAAAAGTGCTGAAGGCATCAGGTTGCGCGGGATCAGGCCCGCGACCCAAGTGTGGCAGGAGCTCTCCTCTCCGAGGCTGCCCGGCAGCCAGCCGGCAAAGCGAGCGCCGGCCTCCTGACAGCTCTCTGCAGCACTGCTTGCTAGAAGAGATCTTGAAAGGAAAAAAAGTTAGAAAACTACCCGAGGGCAGGGCTCTGTCTCCTACCGTAAACACTGCCCTTTTTCTGCTGCGGCATCATTATGAAAACAATTCGCTTTATTCTGTCAGCGATGAGTAACAAATTACAATTCCTTCTCGTCAGCTAAACTCTGGCCACAAGGGTGCTGCTTCCACAGTCACTTGCGTGTTCAAGATATTCGGTCTCCTCTGAAGGGCTGGCAAGTGCACCGACGGTGGGACAACTGCATGCCCCAACCAGCCCCACACAAATCAGGACATGTGAGGTCTAGGGGTAGAAATCAGAACTCGCACCACACTGCAAAGGTCATTTTAAATACCTGAGATCTTGACAGGCGATTAGTCCCCAGTAGCAGACTGCAACCCATGTTTTCTTGGCAGGCACCAGAACGCAGCAAGAATAGGTTTAAGAAATCATCGTTGCTCCATAACAAAATCACCTAAAGCAAAGAGCTTCAGTGATAAGCACTTAAAAAGGTTTGTTTTTTTCCTGTGTTTAAGGTAACATTAACTCCAGGAAATTTAGCTTTTTTCATGCTAAAACCTCTGCAGCAACACTGGCCATTTTTCGACGCCGAAAAGTAACCCAAGCTTACTCTTGAAAGAAGCTGACTGGGAAAAAGCCACTAGTACTTTCCACAGATAGCATGGACCCAGATTTTCCTAATTATGATTAGATAATTACAGTGCTGCTCACTAAGCTTAACTACTGTTTAAACTAACTGGCTAGGGACACTGCACACTTCCACAACATATACAATTCAGTGATACCTACGAGCAACTACAAAAGCTTGTGCAGGATAGAAACTCGTTTAACACAGGTTATTTCATCGTAAGGTTTAGTTAGCAGCAACTGCGCTAGCAACGGTTAGCGATGACTCAGCCAGAGGCTGAATAACTAACCTTGAGTTTGGGAGAACTCACATAAATACCGTGATTTCTTCCGTGTTACTGCATTCACTCTGTTACGTTGTGATGTATCAACCAGACCTACTCCTACCTCCATGTAAGCCTTGTGCTGATATTAACAACGCAAAGGTCACTTTGACCTTTAACTAATAACTAGATAGCAGTTTGTACCCATATTACCTCTTTCTGTATGTTTAAAAACACAGGTGCAGATCTTTCAGCATAAACACTTCAGATTTCACATCAAATTACGTGTGAGCATGTCAGCAACAGGATTAACAGAAGCTTTGCTCGCAGAACATTCTCATGAGCATTATTGGGATTTTAACTCCTGCCAAGCCTAAAATGAGCTTTTTCTTATGCCAAACGAAATATAGTGCAGAGAGTCATTATTACACTTGATGATTAACTTTTAAGGATCTGTTTGTGCCATCATTAAGGACATTATGAAAGGGAAGATGAGAGTCACATACTACAGAGGTTCCGTCTCAAAGTTTGTTGACAAAAAAGATAATTGCAGTAAGTGTCTAGTCCTTGAACGCTAACCAACAAAATAGCTTTTTAGTATTACAAAAAGCAGAACTGTGAAATTATATGAAAGCATTAATCAAAGGCGAGACAAAATGTATGTGCTTCCTTAAAGGTTTACAGCTCTACAATGAAATAAAAGTCTTTTTTAGCAGAAGCTGACCTCAAAAGGCAACAGTAGCCATCCGAATCTTATCTCAAATCAGAGATGGTTCTCTCCCCAACCCCCTCACAACTTTCATATTTCAAATGTCAAGACGGAAAAAATAGGTTATGCTCAGTCATATGTAAAAACTGAATCACCATCTAGATACATTTGTCAGAGAATTCAGTGGCACTTAATTTTTCACAAGTGTGAAAACAGATACTGTAGGGGTACTCAAGTGGTTAGCCGTTTCTATATAACCTGTTATATAGTGTTCTGTTTTCAACAGCTACAGGAATCACCATCAAAAGATATGAAAAAGAAAAGGAAAACATCTTGCACACAGCTAGGTGATTTTCTGTTGCATGTCCCCAAAACAGCCAGAGAAAAAAAAGACCTCAAGAATGTATCTTAATTGCATATATTACAATCATAATTCTGTGTCTCAGAACACCCTGCTAAAGTGCACTTAACTACATAAAGAAACGAACCTTAGGTCCCTTACACTTTGTCAAATAAACGGGCCATTTATATCAAAATTGCCATTCTGTATTAATTCAAATGAAAGTTTTCAGTTAAAGGGCCTCTGTGGATATATTCATTTCACACATCTGCGTTTCAACTGCTACACAGCTGATTTGCTGAAAGAGTTCCATCACTTCTTCTAGAATAAGGGCAGATTTCCAATTGCAAGTCAATGATTCTTACTAAGTAGTACTTTCCCTCTCACTCTCCCTCTAACGAACGTTTAACTGGAATTAGCAGCTTTATACTACAGCAAGAGTACATAACATCAAATGAAAACACTATCTGAATATTAAAGCTTAGGTAGGTCATCTTATTTATGAACAGACGAACTACAAACTTCTCACATTTGGGCTCTTCCTTTCAGTAAACTGTTGATCATAGCCTTTTAGAAGTCTAAGAAAAAAAATTTAAGTTGAAAAACATTGATCTTGAAATTTCCTAGAGGATGGGCAGACCCCCTCATAGAGAATTGAGGTCTACTACAGATCAACTTGCTATTGTTAAGTAGCTTTTGCAGATCTCTTACAAGTCATCCATGGTACCCAGGGGTATATAAGACCACAAGCTCAACACCACTGTTCCAGATTAACAATCATTTATTAGCTGTTTTGCTACTCGTCTTCTACAGTTAAATAAAGACTACCACTTTTAGTTATTTTCATCACGATTTTTGTTCCACACCCGACTGTTTGTTGATGTTCCTTGCTTATTAAGATAAGATAGATTTTAAATAGCAAGCTTCATTTAAGCTCCCTTGTTCTTAAAGGCTGTGGACGTACTTCTATCACACAAGGATGCTTACCAACCTTAACAACAGATTCATCTTGCAGTAACACAAAAAGAAACTGCATTACAGCTTGCGTGCTATAGTCTAAGAAGTCTATTGCCAAGGTCGGCCAATTCTGCGTACCTCCAGGCACAACACAGTCTGCTCCTTACTGACCCTAAGACTTGAATTATTCCCTGTGATGAAGCCCAAAACAAACAGTTAATCCTCCAGAAGAGACAGAGGTATCAAGTATCTACACTCAAACAGCTTCTCCGTCTTTCTTATACAGGGGTATCGCACATTTTCCTGTTAATTCTTTTGAGCAATGGCACTTTAAAACTATCAAAACATGTTAACGTTTTTTAAATACTGACATGCTTTGAAAGACTGGTGGCACATCTGATGCTTAAGTGACAGCCAGCGGTCATGCAATTGCACTGCTGTTTACCCGCCTCTCCCCACCCCAGAACCTCTAGCAAAGCACTGTCACTCTGCAGGTTGTCTCTGATGATATGAG